ATGAACTTGGCAATGTCTACATATCTTGAAGGAAGGTTAGTAAGAGACTGGATGAGGAACATTCCATCAATGACACACACATCAACGTTATCTGGGAACTGAATGTCTGTTACCTTTTCTTCCAAACATTTCATCAGTTTGGACTTGTCAGTCTTGTAGATTGAACCATCCATTTGCCCAAGTGAAAGTGGAAGAGGTGTAAGAGGGAACCTGAATACTTCAGCGAGATCATTTGACGAGCAGAGGCGGGGTATAAAAGTCGACCAAACAAATCTAGAGAATACTGAAGTTCTTTCAGTTTCTTGTCTTTAGTCTGAATGTTGGCCTTAAAAGCTTCAGCAGTGAAATTCTGAATCTTTCTTCTTGGGATTGGTTTTTCAAATCTAGCCTGGTCAGAAAAACAGCCATCTGAAGTTCCTTGTACCACATTTCACCTGTATGAATGCAGTTTACAAGATCATCCATCAGCAGTATGTTCTGCTAGTGGTTTTCCCGTTGTTATACAGTACAGATGTGTGTTTGGAAAGGGTTCAAGCAACTTTCAATTAGCAAGACTTTCAACATCTTCATGGTCCCGTTTGAGCCATGCTTGTTTGCATTCCTTTGTGACATCTTCCAGCTCCATGTACATCACACAGTATTGGGCTGTTTTGCCATGAGTTTCGTGTCTCATTCATGATGTGGTCGTAGGCTCTGAGAAAATTCAGTAATCTCCTCTGATTCCTCTACCAGGGTCCTTTCTTTGGCTTCTTCTGCAGAAGCTTGCAAAACACTGGATGTGGCAAGTTTGCTCTCATCAGCATCAATGTGAAATACAACTTTCTTCCCTTTACACAATAGGGTACTAATTTTCACTTTATTTTGAAACTGCTCAAGTAACTTACTTTCAAACTTTTCAATTCAGTAGCTACTTGTATCAATACCAGCTTCTATCAGCAGACATATGTACTTCTGGTATAATGTGGCAAGGTATTCTGGGTGCTGTTTGTGGATGACAGCAGATTCTATGTAAGTACATATCTCGTCAAATGCCTTTGCATGTTCCTGTCTGGGTAGCTTCTTAACAGGCTCAGTTTTAGCTTGGAATTGTCTATCAGCTTTGTTTAAATATGCCTTTATACATGAATGATGGAATTTGACTTTGATGGAATGATGGAATTTGAATAACCCATGGAGATCCGGGTTAGAATTTGCCTTCAGTAACCCATGCTTGTCGTAAGAGGCGACTAACGGGATCGGGTGGTCAGGCTCGTTGACTTGGTTGACTTGGTTGACTTTTCCATGGTTCTTTTTCTCAATTTCCTACAAAACACACAAGATCCTCCAAATATTCCTCAATGGTTGGTGTTCTTGACATTTTCAGGTCTGAGGTTTACACCACAAACCTCATCACTGCTATTTGGTATAGATACATCAGATTTTGAACTTGAGGTGAGATGTATGTTGCCACACACTGAGGTGTGTGATACTTTTAAAGAATGTCATTTACAGAGTTATCTCCCCTCAAGTGATTTTATAGAATTACCCTTACCATCTTTTTCGTTGATAAAACACTGACCTTGAGTGACACATGCATTCTATTGATTTGTATTGATTTGATTTGTAAGACTGGATTTTTTGGATTCGTGAGGCAATTTTACATCAGGATACATGTTCAAACCTTTTGGCTTCTCTCGGTACAAAAATCACCCCCGTGCTCTTCGACTACATGGGTCGAAGTTCATAATTGTAAATTCTTGTCATCACATCATACTGGAAACAGAATGAAAGTTAACGCGCCATTATCCTCGTTGAAGTAACAGCCCAACAGTTTTCGACAAAACTCTGCACTACAACATTTTTTACACCGAAGACACAAGACAGGTCGTTGAGTTGCCGTGCCAGCTGTTTTCGATCCTGAAAAGGAGGCCCTCTCTCTTCTTGTTTACAAGTGATGTTGAAAGTAACACATATACTGAGTCAAACTATTAAATTAAATCGTATGTTTCAAATGTTCAGTAGCGTGCATTGCCACCCGTGTGTTCACAACTGCCAAGCGACGCCTCCCAATGTACTGTCTATTGGGGAGTTGGCGCCATTGTTCCTGCAGAGCAGCACCAAGATCCTGCAAATTCTTGGTTCCTGAGAGTGCGCAGACGTCTACCAAGAGCATCCTAGATGTGCTCGATTGGATATAGATCAGGTGAACTTGACGGCCAGTCAAGAACGTTGATTCCCGAGTTCTGCAGGTTATTCCTGGTCAAGATGCATGTGTGGGGTGTGGGATTGCCATGTTGAAGTGCAGACCTGACCATGTGCTGCCATGAATGGAATAAGTTCGGGGGCTAGCACCTAGTCGTGGTAACCTGCAGCATTAAGGTTTCCACGGATACCCAGAAGTCGGGAACGAGCAATCCTACAGAAAGCACCCCAAACCATGACACTTCCACCCCCAAATCTGTCAACTTCCTGTACACAACACTGGGTATAACGTTCGCGGCGTAGCCTCCACACTCTCATCCTATCATCAGCGAATCAGAGGGTAACTCGATTCCAGTCACTCTGAGTCCATCGGAGGTGTCGTCGGGCCCACAGCAAACGCTTGAGTCGATGTAATGGCGTCAAAATGGTTCCGCGATATGGTCTTCAAACACGAAGGTGAAGAGCTCTCAGCCGGTTTCGGGTGGTTTGTGGCCACAATGGACCCCTAAAAAACTCATTTTTGGTTCCTGTATCCGTCCCAAAAACGGTCACGGAGATGACGTTACACGATTTGCCGTCCTCCGCCTGTGACGTCACACGTGATCGACCTGGCCTAGGGCGAACAGCAGTGGTGCCAGTTTGTTGCAGTCGAGTCTGTACAGACCCCCACCCCCTCCCATTGTCACCCTTGCAACGTCACGTTTACTGACGTTCCTGTTTCCACTATGCCGACGGCACATTTGAGAGGCGCGGCATAAGAACTGGCTGTTCTGAATAGCGCTTTAAAATGTTTTTCACTTTGTACATTTGTTGGAAACATTTGCGATCGAATGCACGTGGAATGATAAGAGCACGTGACCAGTGGTACGTGAAAAATTATTTTTAGCACTATTGTATATATGAATTATGAAGTTATTTATTTGATTCAGTATATTATAACATAATCATTATGAAATGGGAAGCATCCAGGATCATTGATTTGATGCAAATTGATGGACTCCCAATTTCGGAAATGACATTGACTGGCAAAATTACTGTTACTAGTCTTTACCTAAACTACCAGATGAATTTATTACTTCCATTGAGAGAATATTTTGAGATATATTTGTGATGATAAAATTGACAAAATCAAACGGAGCATTTTAATTAAAGATTATAAAGCAGGGGGTTTACGCATGATTGATATCAAAACCTTTGTCAATGCCATGAACTTATCCACACTCCTAGATATGTCAGAAAAGCAAATGGAAGTAATTCATGCAGTTTCCCATAAAAAGATATACTAAAATATGGCGCAAATTTTCAGAATATTATTGAATTTGAAAATCCTTTTTGGAGCCATGTCCTGAAGGCATGGAAATAATATTGTACTAGAAACACCATCGAAGATGATAACATAAATGGAATCTTATCTCAACCCATATGACTTGATCATAAGTTTAAAAACCCAAGCCATTTTATCAAGTTGAGTATTACCTTGACTCCTTCTTCCTGGGTCAATTTGTACAAACGATCGTATCGCTACAGAAATTGTAAACCAACGCTCTTGCACCTCAGCGAAGGGTGCCAGAAAGCAAAATACAAATGACCTTGACCTTTTCAATAATCAAGCTAATCTTAGTTCTAAGTGTGGCTTTTTGTGTACTTTGTATACAAGCCAACGCCCTTGGAACAACTTGCTCATGGTTGTTGAATTGTGTTTCAGATTCGTTTCCTGATGTGGTTCAGTTTCTACAGCTTGCCTTGATTGACAGGCTCTTTGATATTTTAGATGCCACGCTGGTTACTGATTTTTGAGGTGTCTTTAAACATTTAGGATGATTCCTACTCCTGGAACGTTTATTGACCTCACCTTTTGCATTTCTTTAGATGTATCTGCCATCTTGCCATGACACTTTTGTTAAGAAGATATGCTGCTGTACATCTGTATTTATAAGGTTAGCTTGTGAACCTACAACCGAAAATTACACAGTCAATCGTGATATCTTTATATGGCGTTTATATACATTCGCGCCATATATTTCTACAGAAGACACCAATATAAATAGATGTACAATTTTTTCTACCCGATTCGAAAAGCTGGCGAGATGCAGCGATCATGTCCGTTTATTCGTCCGTTTGTTTGTCGTCTAATGCCCATTTCCGGAGCAGAACTAAACCGTTGAATATTTCGTGTTTTAAACCTTCAAAACAGATCTTTTCAGTAGAAGACTGGTGGCTTTTGACTATTTCTGAATTTAATGCTTTCATGGCGAAACATTGGATTTGACTTAAAATAGATATAGTGCTCGTTTTCGGAGCAGAAATCCTTAACCTGTATATAATTCGGGATGAAAATTGCTGTTCAGATCAGTCTTGAGGTAAACGGGCGCCATTTGATATTTTGGGATTATTCTTTATGTTTTTTATGTTTTCATGCCGTAGATATTACATAAAATGATTGAAGTTCTCGTATTCAACAAAGCCCCCCAAACCTGTTGAATGTTTTAGGATTATATTTGCTATAATGCTGTCTAGTTGTGGACTTTAGATCATTGTGGCCAACGGAGTAACATCATTTTGGCCCTGAAGTGAATCCATCCACTGGCAGTGAGCCAAACCTCGGGTATCAGTCGCTGAAATGCACCAGATCGGTATGATGGTCAGCTGCAAACTCTTACTTTTGTATATGAATTTTGTTAAAAAAAATAAAAATAAAAGAATGTCTGTACACTGTATACTTTCTTTCTTCCATACAGGCACAAACCTCGTTGTGTACTACTTGGACTTAGACCTTGAAATGCCATTACAACTTCATCTTAATGAATCCTTTGAACTAGTTTACAGAACGAATACTTATATTCCAGTATGACGTTCTTCTGAAGAGGATCGAGCAGCTGGAACAAAAACAGGAAGGTAAGATACAGATCAATTATGATATATGTTGGCTTTAGTTAAATATTGATCTTTCAATATTCCATTGTGCTTGGAAATTCTTTAACAACTTACGTGATCATCAACTATTCTGTTGAGTAAATATTTACATTGTTTGTCATGTGATTTCTTTTACAGATATCCTACAAGAAAAGGTAAACAATTAACACAACTCATTCGTGTATTTGTCAAAAATATTGCTTCCTGGGTAGTGGTGTCAAAATAATATTTGCATAGTTTTCACCGTTTTTATGAAAACAGTTTTCTTGTTCTGTAGTGGAAGCATCAGCACCGACATATTCATACATTTCATTGTATACATGTTTGGTTTAATATGCTCCAGAACTCTCATAGGCAATGCGTTGTCAGCTTTCGCACAAATACCATGATCGTCCTGTGTTGTAGATGAATAATGGAACAAGAATTAGCTCTGAAACGTCGTAAAAAGAATAAAAAGAAGTTTTTACCCATAAAACGTGTCATGTATTCACGTCTAAATGCCTTGCAAGAACGACGTTCAATTTTGAACTGGACCAACGGTTTTTACGACAACCTTGTTTCATCACGATCATACATCACAAGCAACAAAATCCACAATTTGGAAATGGAAAGTGGTTTGAGGCGTTTATTGGGAATTGAAATGGAAATTGGAACTGTCACCGTTATTTACCCAATATTTACATCGTATTTGACATATATGAAAACTGTTACTTACATATCTTGAATTTCTCTTTTCAGGAAAAGTTGCACCAGGATCACTTGACCGGTGGGTTCACATGTTTTTAATACTGGCACCCAAAACATATAGATAGTGTTTACATGATTTACAGAGCAACCTTCTCGACGGGATCACGCGGGAACTATGACATGGACATCAAAACTTCCCAATTGCAAACTATTATGCACATGATATCACTTATGTATAACTATGTATTGAATAATTGTCACCACAAATCAAATACCTGACTATAACAATCAAATACCTGACTATACATTTACATATGTTTGCTTTCAGATGTACGACTGTCCCTTTTGATGAGGCCAAGATCATCCTCAATCTCACAGTCTGATTCTGGATTCTGTAAGTGATCTGAAGATTCAAATGAACGCCAATAAAACAACAGACCACATTTGACCTCGTGGGAAAATATAACACTCCATCTATATGAAGTTCGACCAAACTATCGAGCTTAATCTTTCCTACAGGGACAACGTTTGCTCATTGACTTCAAACTAAGCTCCTCAATTAATGAAAATTGTTTTGTCAAACAATAGCTTAACAATAGTTTTAATTTATTATTGGAAACAATATGAACAAAAGTCATATTATAGTATGGGTATGTTTCTCCGCAAGCCCTCCGAGGTCCACGAATAAAAGCGATGTCAGCTGGTTACATGTGTGGATAAATATGCCCCTATAAATGGTCAGGTAGGTGCCACTCTCGGAGTCTCTAAACAAACATGGCGTCATATCACCCTCACACAATGTCCACGTACAGAAACTCTCTCCAACAACAAAATGTAGTCAGAATGCAATGGCCTCTCATGATTATCAGCCTTCATATTTATCTTGGACATGATCGATCAACAATAAAGTTATTGTAAATAATGTGAAACAATTACGTTTAAAATTATGTCTAAGCTATTGTGTTTTCACTGCAGGTTAAAAACGAAATTTAGACGGAAAAATATTACTTGTGGACACTGTCGAACTGACTGATCACTGACAGATGTATAAATGCAATGTTATCAGTTGATTGTGTTTATGCATGATAAGAGCCTGTACATAAGTGGTTGGGTCGTTAAGTCTGTCCTCTGACTAATCTTTAAACATTTTTTCTTTTTCTTGAAGCAACATCTACTTCAACGGGAGACCGAAGCGAAAAGGCAGATGTTAGAATAGAAGACAAACGTGAGTTGAGACTGAATTTATAACTGAAAGAAACCGCCCCTTGGAAATACAAGAGGCAATACTCACAAGATGTTATACATCTTTCCCTCCCTCCATACATGCATAACGTTAACGTTTGCAGTAAGGCGCTACTGAAGTATGTTTTTATATAACACAGTATTATTGTCATTCCAGACCTTTGTTATAAGAATGAAGCTGATACACGGCCACAGCTGCCAAACACAGAAAAAGATGGAGGCGACCTTGAATTGATTAAGACCAACCGAGAAGCTACTCTACACGAGGCTTGTCAGGGGGGCAGGCTGGATGCCGTGACACATATTGTGACTAGGGGCCTGGCTGATATCAACTGTCGAGGCAGGCTGGGGAGAACCCCACTCATGGTGGCTGCAAGGGGAGGGTACTTGTCAATAGTTAACTTCTTGATCAGACACGACTGTGAAATTAGTGAGGTTGATGATTATAATGACACCGTCCTTCATGTTGCCTGTATGAGTAGAAATGTAGATGTGGTGAAACGTATTCTATCACAAAATACAGTTAACATGGAAAAGAAGGGACGATATGCCTGGACACCCGTGATGAGAGCAGCAAACAAGGGTCACAGAGAACTGTTCGACCTCCTAGTGAGTAAAGGGTGTGATCTGTCAGTTGTGGATGGGAATAGGAACAACATTCTTCACGTAGCATGTCTTGGTGGCAATGTCGACATCTGCAAGTACCTCCTCTCAAACGACATAGTTGGAATAAAGAGAAGAGGACAATACAAGAGGACACCCGTGATGGTAGCATCCAAACATGGTCACAGAGAACTGTTCGACTTCCTTGTGAGTAAAGGGTGTGATCTGTCAGTTGTGGATGGGAACAGGGACAACATTCTTCATGTGGCATGTCTTGGTGGCAATGTCGACATCTGCAAGTACCTCCTCTCAAACGACATAGTTGGAATAGAGAGTAGAGGACAATACAACAGGACACCCGTGATGATAGCAGCAAGCAAGGGTCACAGAGACCTGTTCGACTTCCTTGTGAATAAAGGGTGTGATCTGTCAGTTGTGGATGGGGATGGGAACAACATTGTTCACGTGGCATGTCTTGGTGGCAATGTCGACATCTGCAAGTACCTCCTCTCAAACGACATAGTTGGAATAGAGAGTAGAGGACAATACAACAGGACACCCGTGATGATAGCAGCAAGCAAGGGTCACAGAGAACTGTTCGACTTCCTTGTGAGTAAAGGGTGTGATCTGTCAGTTGTGGATGGGAACAGGGACAACATTCTTCATATGGCATGTCTTGGTGGCAATGTCGACATCTGCAAGTACCTCCTCTCAAACGACATAGTTGGAATAGAGAGTAGAGGACAATACAACAGGACACCCGTGATGAAAGCAGCAAGCGAGGGTCACAGAGAACTGTTCGACTTCCTTGTGAGTAAAGGGTGTGATCTGTCAGTTGTGGATGGGAACAGGGACAACATTCTTCATATGGCATGTCTTGGTGGCAATGTCGACATCTGCAAGTACCTCCTCTCAAACGACATAGCTGGAATAGAGAGAAGAGGACAATACAACTGGACGGCCGTGATGGTAGCAGCAAGCAAGGGTCACAGAGAACTGTTCGACTTCCTTTTGAATAAAGGGTGTGATCTGTCAGTTGTTGATGGGGATGGGGACAACATTCTTCACGTGGCATGTCTTGGTGGCAATGTCGACATCTGCAAGTACCTCCTCTCAAACGACATAGTTGGAATAGAGAGTAGAGGACAATACAACATGACACCCGTGATGATAGCAGCAAGCAAGGGTCACAGAGAACTGTTCGACTTCCTTGTGAGTAAAGGGTGTGATCTGTCAGTTGTGGATGGGAATAGGAACAACATTCTTCACGTAGCATGTCTTGGTGGCAATGTCGACTTCTGCAAGTACCTCCTCTCAAACGACATAGTTGGAATAAAGAGAAGAGGACAATACAACATGACACCCGTGATGAAAGCAGCAAGCAAGGGTCACAGAGAACTGTTCGACTTCCTTGTGAGTAAAGGGTGTGATCTGTCAGTTGTGGATGGGAACAGGGACAACATTCTTCATGTGGCATGTCTTGGTGGCAATGTCGACATCTGCAAGTACCTCCTCTCAAACGACATAGTTGGAATAGAGAGTAGAGGACAATACAACATGACACCCGTGATGGTAGCAGCAAACACGGGTCACAGAGAACTGTTCGACTTCCTTGTGAGTAAAGGCTGTGATCTGTCAGTTGTGGATGGGAACAGGGACAACATTCTTCATATGGCATGTCTTGGTGGCAATGTCGACATCTGCAAGTACCTCCTCTCAAACGACATAGTTGGAATAGAGAGTAGAGGACAATACAACAGGACACCCGTGATGAAAGCAGCAAGCGAGGGTCACAGAGAACTGTTCGACTTCCTTGTGAGTAAAGGGTGTGATCTGTCAGTTGTGGATGGGAACAGGGACAACATTCTTCATATGGCATGTCTTGGTGGCAATGTCGACATCTGCAAGTACCTCCTCTCAAAAAACATAGTTGGAATAGAGAGTAGAGGACAATACAACAGGACAACCGTGATGATAGCAGCAAGCATGGGTCACAGAGACCTGTTCGACTTCCTTGTGAATAAAGGGTGTGATCTGTCAGTTGTGGATGGGGATGGGAACAACATTGTTCACGTGGCATGTCTTGGTGGTAATGTCGACATCTGCAAGTACCTCCTCTCAAACGACATAGTTGGAATAGAGAGTAGAGGACAATACAAGAGGACACCCGTGATGAAAGCAGCAAGCAAGGGTCACAGAGAACTGTTCGACTTCCTTTTGAATAAAGGGTGTGATCTGTCAGTTGTGGATGGGGATGGGAACAACATTCTTCACGTGGCATGTCTTGGTGGCAATGTCGACATCTGCAAGTACCTCCTCTCAAACGACATAGTTGGAATAGAGAGTAGAGGACAATACAACTGGACACCCGTGATGCTAGCAGCAAACAAGGGTCACAGAGAACTGTTTGACTTCCTTGTGAGTAAAGGGTGTGATCTGTCAGTTGTGGATGGGAACAGGGACAACATTCTTCACCTGGCATGTCTTGGTGGCAATGTCGACATCTGCAAGTACCTCCTCTCAAACGACATAGTTGGAATAGAGAGTAGAGGACAATACAACTGGACACCCGGGATGCTAGCAGCAAACAAGGGTCACAGAGACCTGCTTGACTTCCTTGTGAGTAAAGGGTGTGATCTGTCAGTTGTGGATGTGAACAGGGACAACATTCTTCACCTGGCATGTGTTGGTGGCAATGTCGACATCTGCAAGTACCTCCTCTCAAACGACATAGTTGGAATAGAGAGTAGAGGACAATACAACTGGACACCCGTGATGCTAGCAGCAAACAAGGGTCACAGAGAACTGTTTGACTTCCTTGTGAGTAAAGGGTGTGATCTGTCAGTTGTGGATGGGAACAGGGACAACATTCTTCACCTGGCATGTCTTGGTGGCAATGTCGACATCTGCAAGTACCTCCTCTCAAACGACATAGTTGGAATAGAGAGTAGAGGACAATACAACTGGACACCCGGGATGCTAGCAGCAAACCAGGGTCACAGAGACCTGCTTGACTTCCTTGTGAGTAAAGGGTGTGATCTGTCAGTTGTGGATGTGAACAGGGACAACATTCTTCACCTGGCATGTGTTGGTGGCAATGTCGACATCTGCAAGTACCTCCTCTCAAACGACATACTAGGAATAGAGAGTAGAGGACAATACAACAGGACACCCGTGATGAAAGCAGCAAGCAATGGTCACAGAGAACTGTTTGACTTCCTTGTGAGTAAAGGGTGTGATCTGTCAGTTGTGGATGTGAACAGGGACAGCATTCTTCACCTGGCATGTCTTGGTGGCAATGTCGACATCTGCAAGTACCTCCTCTCAAACGACATACTAGGAATAGAGAGTAGAGGACAATACAACAGGACACCCGTGATGAAAGCAGCAAACAAGGGTCACAGAGAACTGTTCGACTTCCTTGTGAGTAAAGGGTGTGATCTGTCAGTTGTGGATGGGAACAGGAACAACATTCTTCACGTGGCATGTGTTGGTGGCAATGTCGACATCTGCAAGTACCTCCTCTCTAAAGACATAGCTGGAATAGAGAGTAGAGGACAATACAACATGACACCCGTGATGATAGCAGCAAGCATGGGTCACAGAGAACTGTTTGACTTCCTTGTGAGTAAAGGGTGTGATCTGTCAGTTGTGGATGTGAACAGGAACAACATTCTTCACCGGGCATGTCTTGGTGGCAATGTCGACATCTGCAAGTACCTCCTCTCAAACGACATAGTCGGAATAGAGAGTAGAGGACAATACAACAGGACGCCCTTGATGGTAGCAGCAAGCAATGGTCACAGAGAACTGTTCGACTTCCTTGTGAGTAAAGGGTGTCATCTGTCTGTTGTGGATGGGGATGGGGACAACATTCTTCACGTGGCATGTCTTGGTGGCAATGTCGACATCTGCAAGTACCTCCTCTCAAACGACATAGTTGGAATAGAGAGTAGAGGAGAATACAACAGGACGCCCGTGATGGTAGCAGCAAGCAATGGTCACAGAGAACTGTTTGACTTCCTTGTGAGTAAAGGGTGTGATCTGTCAGTTGTGGATGGGGATGGGGACAACATTCTTCACGTGGCATGTCTTGGTGGCAATGTCGACATCTGCAAGTACCTCCTCTCAAACGACATAGTTCGAATAGAGAGTAGAGGACAATACAACTGGACGCCCGTGATGGTAGCAGCAAACCAGGGTCACAGAGAAATGTTCGACTTCCTTGTGAGTAAAGGGTGTGATCTGTCAGTTGTGGACGGGAACAGGAGCAACATTCTTCACGTGGCATGTTTTGGTGGCAATGTCGACATCTGCAAGTACCTCCTCTCAAAAGATATAGTTGGAATAGAGAGTAGAGGACAATACAACAGGACGCCCTTGATGATAGCTGCAAGCAAGGGTCACAGAGAAATGTTCGACTTCCTTGTTAGTAAAGGGTGTGATTTGTCAGTTGTGGACGGGAACAGGAACAACATTCTTCACGTGGCATGTGTTGGTGGCAATGTCGACATCTGCAAGTACCTCCTCTCAAAAGATATAGTTGGAATAGAGAGTAGAGGACAATACAACATGACACCCGTGATGATGGCAGCAAACAATGGTCACAGAGAACTGTTTGACTTCCTTGTTAGTAAAGGGTGTGATTTGTCAGTTGTGGACGGGAACAGGAACAACATTCTTCACGTGGCATGTGTTGGTGGCAATGTCGACATCTGCAAGTACCTCCTCTCAAAAGATATAGTTGGAATAGAGAGTAGAGGACAATACAACATGACACCCGTGATGATGGCAGCAAACAATGGTCACAGAGAACTGTTTGACTTCCTTGTGAGTAAAGGGTGTGATCTGTCAGTTGTGGATGGGGATGGGGACACCATTCTTTACGTGGCATGTGTTGGTGGCAATGTCGACATCTGCAAGTACCTCCTCTCAAACGACATAGTTGGAATAGAGAGTAGAGGAGAATACAACAGGACGCCCGTGATGGTAGCAGCAAGCAATGGTCACAGAGAACTGTTCGACTTCCTTGTGAGTAAAGGGTGTGATCTGTCTGTTGTGGATGGGGATGGGGACAACATTCTTCACGTGGCATGTCTTGGTGGCAATGTCGACATCTGCAAGTACCTCCTCTCAAACGACATAGTTGGAATAGAGAGTAGAGGACAATACAACTGGACGCCCGTGATGGTAGCAGCAAGCAATGGTCACAGAGAACTGTTTGACTTCCTTGTGAGTAAAGGGTGTGATCTGTCAGTTGTGGATGGGGATGGGGACAACATTGTTCACGTGGCATGTTTTGGTGGTAATGTCGACATCTGCAAGTACCTCCTCTCAAACGACATAGCTGGAATAGAGAGTAGAGGACAATACAACAGGACGCCCTTGATGATAGCTGCAAACAAGGGTCACAGAGAAATGTTCGACTTGCTTGTGAGTAAAGGGTGTGATCTGTCAGTTGTGGACGGGAACAGGAGCAACATTCTTCACGTGGCATGTGTTGGTGGCAATGTCGACATCTGCAAGTACCTCCTCTCAAACGACATAGCTGGAATAGAGAGTAGAGGACAATACAACAGGACGCCCTTGATGATAGCTGCAAACAAGGGTCACAGAGAAATGTTCGACTTCCTTGTGAGTAAAGGGTGTGATCTGTCAGTTGTGGACGGGAACAGGAGCAACATTCTTCACGTGGCATGTCTTGGTGGCAATGTCGACATCTGCAGGTACCTCCTCTCAAACGACATAGTCGGAATAGAGAGTAGAGGACAATACAACAGGACGCCCTTGATGGTAGCAGCAAGCAATGGTCACAGAGAACTGTTCGACTTCCTTGTGAGTAAAGGGTGTCATCTGTCTGTTGTGGATGGGGATGGGGACAACATTCTTCACGTGGCATGTCTTGGTGGCAATGTCGACATCTGCAAGTACCTCCTCTCAAACGACATAGTTGGAATAGAGAGTAGAGGAGAATACAACAGGACGCCCGTGATGGTAGCAGCAAGCAATGGTCACAGAGAACTGTTTGACTTCCTTGTGAGTAAAGGGTGTGATCTGTCAGTTGTGGATGGGGATGGGGACAACATTCTTCACGTGGCATGTCTTGGTGGCAATGTCGACATCTGCAAGTACCTCCTCTCAAACGACATAGTTCGAATAGAGAGTAGAGGACAATACAACTGGACGCCCGTGATGGTAGCAGCAAACCAGGGTCACAGAGAACTGTTCGACTTCCTTGTGAGTAAAGGGTGTGATCTGTCTGTTGTGGATGGGGATGGGGACAACATTCTTCACCGGGCATGTCTTGGTGGCAATGTCGACATCTGCAAGTACCTCCTCTCAAACGACATAGTTCGAATAGAGAGTAGAGGACAATACAACTGGACGCCCGTGATGGTAGCAGCAAACCAGGGTCACAGAGAAATGTTCGACTTCCTTGTGAGTAAAGGGTGTGATCTGTCAGTTGTGGACGGGAACAGGAGCAACATTCTTCACGTGGCATGTTTTGGTGGCAATGTCGACATCTGCAAGTACCTCCTCTCAAAAGATATAGTTGGAATAGAGAGTAGAGGACAATACAACAGGACGCCCTTGATGATAGCTGCAAGCAAGGGTCACAGAGAAATGTTCGACTTCCTTGTTAGTAAAGGGTGTGATTTGTCAGTTGTGGACGGGAACAGGAACAACATTCTTCACGTGGCATGTGTTGGTGGCAATGTCGACATCTGCAAGTACCTCCTCTCAAAAGATATAGTTGGAATAGAGAGTAGAGGACAATACAACATGACACCCGTGATGATGGCAGCAAACAATGGTCACAGAGAACTGTTTGACTTCCTTGTTAGTAAAGGGTGTGATTTGTCAGTTGTGGACGGGAACAGGAACAACATTCTTCACGTGGCATGTGTTGGTGGCAATGTCGACATCTGCAAGTACCTCCTCTCAAAAGATATAGTTGGAATAGAGAGTAGAGGACAATACAACATGACACCCGTGATGATGGCAGCAAACAATGGTCACAGAGAACTGTTTGACTTCCTTGTGAGTAAAGGGTGTGATCTGTCTGTTGTGGATGGGGATGGGGACAACATTCTTCACGTGGCATGTGTTGGTGGCAATGTCGACATCTTCAGGTACCTCCTCTCAAACGACATAGTTAGAATAGAGAGTAGAGGACAATACAACTGGACGCCCGTGATGGTAGCAGCAAGCAAGGGTCACAGAGAACTGTTCGACTTCCTTGTGAGTAAAGGGTGTGATCTGTCAGTTGTGGATGGGGATGGGGACACCATTCTTTACGTGGCATGTGTTGGTGGCAATGTCGACATCTGCAAGTACCTCCTCTCAAACGACATAGTTGGAATAGAGAGTAGAGGACAATACAACTGGACGCCCGTGATGGTAGCAGCAAGCAAGGGTCACAGAGAACTGTTCGACTTCCTTGTGAGTAAAGGGTGTGATCTGTCAGTTGTGGATGGGAACAGGGACAACTTTGTTCACGTGGCATGTTTTGGTGGTAATGTCGACATCTGCAAGTACCTCCTCTCAAACGACATAGTTGGAATAGAAAGTAGAGGACAATACAACTGGACGCCCGTGATGGTGGCAGCAAGCAATGGTCACAGAGAACTGTTTGACTTCCTTGTGAGTAAAGGGTGTGATCTGTCAGTTGTGGATGGGGATGGGAACAACATTCTTCACGTGGCATGTTTTGGTGGTAATGTCGACATCTGCAAGTACCTCCTCTCAAACGACATAGTTGGAATAGAGAGTAGAGGACAATACAACAGGACACCCTTGATGATAGCAGCAAACAAGGGTCACAGAGAACTGTTTGACTTCCTTGTGAGTAAAGGGTGTGATCTGTCAGTTGTGGTTGGGGATGGGACACCATTCTTCATATGACATTTCTTGGTGGCAATGTCGACATCCTCAAGTACTTTGTCACAAAAGGTATGGCTGATGAGATGATGAAAAGAACAAGCGTTGTCACACTCCCTTGCAAGTTGCAGAATCACGTGGCCACGATGATGTTGTTAGTATTCTTACGTCAATATAGAAGGGACCCCGAGAGATGATGCGTAACCTTTTCAGCAGAAAGAACACAATGAGGACGCGTGTTACTATTGGAACGGTCACTTCGTTGCATGCCATATGTATAACTGAAGATTTGGACAAGAAACAAATACTTCGAGATGTGTTTTGAATGCATTGAGCACAAATGTTGTCATTGGGGTGATGATATTTTTCAAAGTGGTACCCAAACGTGTTGACACTGAAACCCCAACATTAACCAGCATGATGTCAAGAACGTCCAGTAGAAATGTGTATAAGTGCACATGCGAGTTACTAGAATATTAAAATAATTTCCGTACAGTTTAATATATCTGTCTAAACTTTCAACCCTGTATTTCATAGATATATACATGAATTAGAGTAACAGGAAATTTCAGATCAGATGTCACCGTCTTTGTTCACAAATTTATCAGCTTTAAATATCCAGTTTGCCTTTTCACTTGAAGAGATTGTGTGACAACAATATTTTAGGTCACATTGTGTTAGTATAGTTTGAACAAATCTAATTTGGGCCCTTTATGAGCGGCACTTGATTTACTATTTCAAAAGAGATAAGATTTAAACGTATTGGGTAGGCTTTTCTCCAAATGTTAACAAATGATAAAATATTCTCAATTCTACGTTCCTCCGTTTGAACAATATAAATCCTATATATCCTGTGAGGTTGAAAAATATTCTCTTACAAAACGTACGTTAATAAACTTTTCAAAGACAGATATTTTATGAACGCACCACCATGTCTCTTTATCACCTCCCCTAAACACAACGCATGGCATGCACCACAGTGGCCCCATACACGTGCATGCATGGGGTGCCATTTTTTTCATTTTGACGGTTTCAAGAAGGTCGATAAATCACTGTAGACCATTAATTTTAACACTCATCTTGCATCACACAGTTGTTAGTGTTTGTTTCTAGCCGGGTTTTCTGTTCGAAAATGAGATCGGAGACGTGCAAATTACACGTCATACACAAATCATTTGTCAAGAGCGATTACTGGACAAACAACTATTCATAAGGAAGTGCAAGTGATGCACTCTCAATACATTCGTTATTATTATGTCAACATTGATTAACTCCGATATATCTCCAAATGTTTTCAATCGTAAATTAAAAAAGTAGTTCCCCTACTTTTTTAAAGAGTATATATCAATGCTTCATTTACCTTTGGGGATGTGAAACTTAATCATTATAACTCCTAATGATATACATTGTGACTAGTCTGTATAGAGGGGAAGAGTTGCTGGAGAGGAACATGTAAATATTGTTTTGCTAATTTGAATGTAACTGCAGTTGAAGACGAAGTGCATTTTATTACTTCATGTCATTTGTATAACAAGTTGAGAAACAAGTATTTGTAAAAGTAATTTATGTAATGTAGAATCTTTAGCACTGCATATTCTTAAGTGTTTTGTGTTTTGTTTTGTGCTTGCTAAGAATAAAGCTTCAAAAATACCTGAATCGTGTGTGGATATATTCTTGGGCGTATTTACACCATGTATATGACCTGAATGTTTTCACGAACGAGAGAAATAGATTTACAAGCATTTGACAGGGATAATAACGATGACATGATTTTCGTGAACGCAATGGATCTTTCGTTTAATCCATACCCGATGACGTCAGGGGCAATACGGGTCTGTGAATGGTTGATAGCATGTCCACAGCTTATATGTATCCTGTTTGTTCTAATGAAACTTTGTAACTATACCATGTCAGGACGCGGTTTGAATGCTGTGTGTCTGATTATAACCTGGGCCTGTATCAAGTTCTAACCTAGTTTCCATTGATCGACTGTTGGAATCGATGAAATGGCATCCGACCACGACGAACGTGAGTATAAGGGTTTGTCTTTTGTCACAATAAACGCGACTTTAAATGCAAAGTTGTTGACACCGATTAAATATGTCTGAAACAAAGCAAGGAGCCTTCAAATCTTAGTCATGTTTTCTCGCTCAAAAGAAATGAGACACCACTGCCTGCATAAATGACCTGTTTTGTCTTTAGAGCAGACTGAAGAAACATTTCTATATCTCCACCCTGACCTCCATGTTCTGGTATTTTACACAATCAATATTTGACGTTTGTTCAATATCAATCAGTGAAGTAGGAACGGTTCGACACGTGTAATGAGATTTAGGAAACGTCCTAGTGATTGCGGGTAAGAATTAACATACAACAATTTGTCCTCAAACCATTAGCCATGAAATGTTGTCAACGAATTTCACGTACTGACCAGACTGATAACGAAAACACGCAACGATGACTGTGGCATAAAGTCATATAAAATATGCCGACATGCTTATCTATACATCTGCCGTCTTTCCCAATGGTAGAACAACAAAACTAAGATTGCACACACAATCTTCAACACGTTATTACATAGGCTGAAGTGGGCCTTCAAACTACTTTGATGCATTAATAGTTGTATACCGCCACACCCAACAACAGTCCAACTATGTGCCATTGATCTATAAATAGTCGATTTTGGACCACAAAGTTCTATGTTGCCCAAACATATAGTACAGTGACAGTCACCTATATTGCCGATGCTTATTAACTCTCATAACAAACATATGTTGTAGGGAAGATATCTATACTCCGAATCACCACTGAACGAACACGCATAGACGGAAAGCATGTATAACATGGTATCCTATATATGCTGCTTGAAGGAAGATACTTATTGGTCATCTAGTGAGTGAATAAGTTTGCAGTGTCAGAAAATACAGTGGATTTCTGAGGATCTTTTCGAATGTCCTTATTAAGGGACCTCCTGTGAACTTTATACATAAGTCAGTCATGGATCTCCTGTGAACTTTATACATAAGGCAGTCATGGATCTACTGTGAACATTATACATAAGGCACTCAGGGACCTCCTGTGAACTTTATACATAAGGCAGTCAGGGACCTCCTGTGAACTTTATACATAGGGCATTCAGGGACCTCCTGTGAACTTTATACATAAGGCATTCAGGGAGCTCCTGTGAACTTTATACATAAAGGAGTTGGGGACCACCTGTGAACTTTATACATAAGGCACTCAGGTACCTCCTGTGAACTTTATACATAAGGCAGTCAGGGACCTCCTGTGAACTTTATACATACGACGGTCAGGGATCACCTGTTAACTTTATACATAAGGCATTCATGGACCTCCTGTGAACTTTATGCATAAGATAGTCAGGGACCTCCTGTGAAGTTTATGCATAAGGCCTTCATGGAGCTCCTGTGAACTTTATACATAAGGCAGTCAGGGACCTTCTGTGAAATTTATACATGAGGCAGTCATGGATCTCCTGTGAACTTCATACAAAAGGCAGTCAGGGATCTCCTGTGAACTTTATACAAAAGGCATTTTGGGATCTCCTGTGAACTTTATACATAAGGCAGTCAGGGACCTCCTGTGAACTTTATACATACGACTGTCAGGGATCACCTGTGAACTTTATACATAAGGCAACCAGGGACCTCCTGTGAACTTTATGCCTGAGGAAGTCACGGACCCCCTGTGAACTTTTTACATAAGGCAGTCAGGGATTTCCTGTGAACTTTATACCTAAGGAAGTCAGGGACCCCCTGTGAACTTTATACATAAGGCAGTCAGGCATTTCCTGTGAACTTTATACATAAGGCATTCAGGGATCTCCTGTGAACTTTATACATAAGGCAGTCAGGGACCTCCTGTGAACATCATACATAAAGCGGTCAGGGATCTCCTGTGAACTTTATACATAAGGCATTCAGGGACCTCCTGTGAACTTTATACATAAGACAGTCAGGGATGTCCTGTGAACTTTATACATAAGGCATTCAGGGATCTCCTGTGAACTTTATACATAAGGCAGTCATGGATCTCCTGTGAACCTTATAAATAACGCATTCAGAGATCACCTACGAACTTTATACATAAGGCATTCAGAGACCTTCTGTGAACTTTATACATAAGGCATTCATGGACCTCCTGTGAACTTTATACATTAGGCATTCAGGGACCTCCTGTGAACTTTATACATAAGGCAGTCAGGGACCTCCTGTGAACTTTATACATAAGGCAGTCAGGGATCTCCTGTGAACTTTATACATAAGGCAGTCAGGGACCTCCTGTGAACTTTATACATGAGGCAGTCAGGGACCTCCTGTGAACTTCATACATAAGACAGTCAGGGATCTCCTGTGAACTTTATACATGAGGCAGTCAGGGAGCTCCTGTGAACTTTATACATAAGGCATTCAGGGAGCTCCTGTGAACTTTATACATAAGGCATTCAGGGACCTACTGTGAACTTTATACAGAAGGCAGTCAGGGATCTCCTGTGAACTTTATACATAAGGCAGTCAGGGATATCCTGTGAACTTTATACATAAGGCATTCAGGGACCTCCTGTGAACTTTATACATGAGGCAGCCAGGGACCTCCTTTGAACTGTATTCATAAGGCATCCAGGGAGCTCCTGTGAACTTTATACAGAAGGCTTTCTGGGATCTCCTGTGAACTTGATACATAAGGCAGTCAGGGATCTCCTGTGAACTTCATACAAAAGGCAAGTCGTGGATCTCCTGTGAACTTTATACATAAGGCAGACAGGGACCTTCAGTGAACGTTATACATAAGGCAGTCAGGGATCTCCTGTGAACTTTACACATAAGGCAGTCAGGGATCTCCTGTGAACTTTATACATAAGGCCGTCAGGGATCTCCTGTGAACTTTATACATAAGGCAGACAGGGACCTTCAGTGAACTTTATACATAAGGCAGTCAGGGATCTCCTGTGAACTTTACACATAAGGCAGTGAGGGATCTCCTGTGAACTTTATACATAAGGCATTCAGGGACCTCCTGTGAACTTTATACATAAGGCAGTCAGGGATCTCCTGTGAACTTTATACATAAGGCAGTCAGGGACCACCTGTGAACTTTATACATAAGGCATCCAGGGAGCTCCTGTGAACTTTATACAGAAGGCTTTCTGGGAT